AGGGGAGAAATAGTTTTAAAACAATGGATTTTGCCCAGCTAGTCTTTCGGGTATTCCAATAGTAAATATAATCCTGTAGTTAGTATCAAAGCATGTAGGACAGGTGAGAATAAGAGAAGAAACAACATTACTTTCAGTGACCTTTCTTTCTCTTTCTCACTCTCTTAAGTACTGGGGATTGAATGCAAATCCTTCACTGCATTCTCAGCTCACTTCTAACTTTTTTCTTCTTCTGAGATGGGATCTCACTAACCTACCGAGGGTGGGTTTGTGCTTGTGATCCTCCTACCTCAGTATCTTAGAGTTCTGGGATTACCACTTGTGCCACCAATCCTGGCTTCAATTACTTTTGTTGCTGATTCAAATTTAGCTCTAATCTGAAAGTTCTAGCTCTCTCCTTTTCATAGGGTAAATATATAATATTATAATTACCATAGAGGTAGTGATTATAATTAATTATTGTTCATTTAAAGATCTTTTATCATTTTTGCCAACATCTATAATGAGGACTGTCATGGCATTCTTGTGAGGTAGATATTTGGATCCCCATTTCAGATGGGTTAAATGAAGCACAAAGAACTGATACTGATATAATTTACCTAAATTCAACCATGTAGAAGAATTAGCAAAATATGGAAAAGAGGCAACTCAGGATAACACCCATGTTGTCAGAGAGCTATATTTAGTACTGAAAATAGGCATTGCCAAGATTTCTTTAAACTAGGCCGTCTCAGTTTCTTTTGCATCCATTCCTCCCTAGTACCTCATATAGGAATTAGCACACTGTGGAATATCAATACATTCCCTTGGTTTATTCAAGATTAGCAAATCCCTAATGATTCATTTTTTTAGGATAAGGGAGACTCCATACTTCTGGTATTGAGATCAAAGAAATTTCTGATTCCAGAATTATGCTGACCACTTTATTTCAAAAGCTTTTGGAGTTCTAAAAATATTACTGTCATGTTCATAAGCACTGGGTTCTAGTTTACCATGAGTATACAGGTTGACAAATCAGATATTGTTGTATATGTGTAAGCTAAAATCAAAAGATTAAAAGATCAAATGGATGGCAGAAAGCAACATTCATGTTTTTTACCATTGGAATGAAAGGTTATAGATATGTAAGAGGAAGAAGGTAGACTGGTTCATGTGGATTAGAATTAAAGACATTAATATGCACTCATATACAGCTAAAATATATGGATGATCACATTAAGTACATGCACATATATTTCCTTTCCCTGTCAGCTCAGAAGGCCTTCATTAACAATCCCTCAGTAGCAACAAGCCTGCCTGGTGCCAATTTTAGTTTCTAGTAAAATTCACCAGTAAATATAACCAAGACTTTTAAAAAATCCTTAGCATAGAGAAGCAAAGTGATCCTGGACATCTTACAGTGCCAGTAAGGACATGCTAATAAATGAGGATGGTGTGTCAAAAACACTTGGAAGTCAACACAAAAAAGCTCCTAATGACCAAAGCAAGAACAATTTGGAAAGTAAAATAATTAAAGTAGCATGTAATTGGAACCTCAAAGTAAAATAAACATCTATGAGTCTATGTTGATATAAATAAATTATTGTATGAATAAATAAATGAACAAGAGACAATTCTGACAATTAGAATAATTCCAAATAGTTTATAGAGATATTTGAAAGTAAGAATGTGTTGAATAACTCACTGCACTTTATGTGTGGACTGTATACAGTGATCTCCTTTCGAAGAGTACAGTATGAAAGGAGGGAAAAGAGTACATATGAAACAGTTGATAAATGCTATCTTTACCAAGTGCTCAAGGTTAAAAAGAGTGATGTCAAGTAAATATCATATAATGAAAATATAGCACTTTATCCTGTGATCTTCTTCCCCCAAAACCATTACCCCAGCCTCTTCAAGGGAAAAGCATCAGGTAAATCCACACTGAACAACATACTTTTCAATACTTCCAAGGTAATTGAAAATAAAGCAAATGAAAAAGTATCATAACCAGAAGGAGCCTAAGAAAATATGATTACTAAATGTAATGTGGTATCTTGAATACTGATAGGATGCTAAAATAGAAAAGTGATATTAGGCAAAAACTACATAAATGTGGATACAGTATGGGCATTAATATTAATGAATCAATATTGTTTCATTAATTGCAACAAATGTATAATAGTAGTGTATAGTGTTAATAACACAGGAAAATAGATGCTGAGTGTATGGGAATTTTCTGTACTATCATTACAATTTTTCTGTATATCTGAAAATGTTTTAAAATGTAAAGTTCATTTTAAAAGACCTTCATGTCACCAGCCTTTATATTTTATTCATAAACACTCCACATACTCTACCCCACAAGTTCACATTTCTTATAGTTTTTCTTAAAATTTACAGTCACAATTATAAATAGTCTTGTTCAACCGCCAATAACCAATGGAGGAAATTCCACTGCAACAAAACCCATGGTATTATACAACCCTATTAAATAAGACCATCTCTATGTCTTAGGCAACTGTTACACTAAAAGCATTATGTTGGTATAAATACACCAAATTTAATGAAACCCAAAATGCTACCTAAGTGAGATACTTTAGTTCCTTTCCACCTCAACATTTATCTAGCAAAATTTAAATATTTCTGATGCTGTAACTTTGCAGTAGTACTATATTTGAATCCATGTATTCTATGAAATTTCTCTATTGAATCGTAACAGATTTCTTAGAGTATACTAAATAATTCAAAAGATTTTATTGGGGATGGCAGAAAAAGAGGACAATGAAAATAGAATTGCTTTTGACTACAGCTAATTAACAAAGCAGTCTCTCAATACCTTGCAGAAAAAAATTTAAATAAATACTCAGGGAGGTCAAGGACACTAATATTTGAGATACTAATTTAATTATCTTTATTACTTATAAATAGAGCATATGCCCAATGCAAAATATCTTGAGGTCTGAGGGGCACATATCAGTTCTGAAGTCTAGATAAGGAAACTTAGTATCCAAACCATGGAGTAAAATGTTAAGCCTTTGAGCTCTACTTTGAAATACTGTACCAGCTACACAATTATAAAGCTTGAATGTATGTATAATGGTAATCCACCTTTTCTAACCTGTTTGATAGCTACCTAGAAGGTCCCAATAGCACATTGGCCCTGAATATTTCTTAATACTTTGTTAATTAGTATATAGCTTTGGACTTGCACATCAAAAGTCAGGAAAAAGCCCATATCAAAACAACAACTATAATAGTAAAAGCCTACATATTATTTCAAAAAATATAAGTAGTCCTTATGTTTATAGAACGTTTATGCTATGGAAAGATGTTAAATATTGAAATGAGGTAAATAAAATCTAGGTATCACAAAAATGTGAGAATAGAAAAATTATGTCTACTGTTATATGGCAGTAACTATAAACACATTTTACTTACTATGTCATCAACTGTCAATAATTTTTGAGTAGTCTAAACTTTTTGAAAGATAACATAAAATTGGATAAATATTACAGCCAATCACATAAAATTTCTTTAATTTTTTGTAATAGTGTGGTCCCTGCGAGAAAGAGTGTACAGATCTATAAGGCCTCAGGAAATCATTTGAAGAATTTGACCCGTATCTGTTAAATATGAGACATGGGTAGGACTAGACAACTAATAAAATCCCTTTGTGATGCTTTTTTTAACATGGACATCCTCAAGAGGTAGAACCTAAAGTATTCAGGCAGGGTCTGGTTAAATATCTGCCAAGGAAAAAGGACTAAAAAAAGAAGACAATCTTTAGGAGATAGGCTGAGTTTACTATAATTGTTACAGTGCCCCACTCCCTTTTTCCTGGAAAAGAAAATATGTTTTGTGGAGGTAGATCTGAAGTTCAGGGAGAGAAATAGGATGTATGACCCAAAGAATATTATGAAACAAAAACAAAAACAAACAAACAAATAAAAAGAATATCATGAAACAGTCTGATTGGGCAACCAAAAATGTATATTATGCAACCTGCCGTAATGGCTAAAATAAATGGCTTAATGTTCATAGTAGTTATAAAAGTTCAAACTTCTTTTTGTAAGTTAACTTTTACCAAAAGCTTCTTATTTTCCATTTAAAACACAGGAATGAGTGCCAGTAATGCCATCAAATGGACACAGTTCCTTTCTCCCAACCCCTCATCTCTATATAATATGGCCTCTGTGTGTTATTTCTCAACATGTAATAGACCAAAGTTGCTTTAAGTAAACAAAGGAAAAAAAGTAAGGTGCAGTCCCTCAAGTTATTATCTTATAAGGCTGTCATTTGAATGAGGTTTGTGATTACCAGCACTTTTGATATCCTTTATGAATGAAACTCACCTTTTACTCATACTCAGGATCACTCCATGTCTGCTTGTTCTTGCTACTGCCTGACATAATTTTCTCCAACACTTTTGTCCCTTCCATACCTGTCTTTGTGTACTTTGATTATTTAATCTAACAAAGAATATAACTGTGCCACAAAATTTGTAATCTTAAAGGAGCTAGAGGAGGAAGAAAAACAAAAGATTTCTTTATTCCCTTTGATGGACTTAAAAAGAAGCACCAGCACTCTCTGAAAGCCAAACTATAAGTAGAAATAAGATTGAATTTACAAAACTTTTAAGTTTGATATAAGGCTCACCTTATTCACTGAGAATGTGCCCTATCATTAGGTCCCAAATCTCTGTAAATATACAGATAAATTACATTGTTATGTGTCCTCCTTCTAGGAATTTAAAAAATCATATTAGGATACATATATATATATATATATATATATGTATATATTTTC